GATGCAGTAAAGGATAAGCACTCATTTTCCCAGGCTGTAACCATGGTAACTTGTGGTATTGGGTTACATTGTGTAGCAAGTGGCAGGACAGAGTTGGAGGGGCTGGTTACCATATATATATATATATATATGAGTGTGTTTGAGTAAGAATAAGCAGAGCGGTAGACCATGTGAAGTTAACATTGTGCATTTGTAGTTCTTTTATAGTATTGTAAGAAACCCTTATGTCAGTTTGCAGGCTTGAAGACACAATCATGTATTTACTGTTCATGATATCGTTTGATCCTCAGAGTCAAGCTCCTAGGTCCTTGTAAAAAAACTGTTTCTGGTATGAAATGATAAATGATAAAAGGTATTTTCTTTGCTATTCCTCAAAAATCTCCCAACAGACTCAGCAGATGATCCCTCCACAGTGCCTATCTGGGTGCAGCAGTGATAATTATGCACATACAAATGGTGTGGTGAAGATAACGCCATCTTTGACTGTACACAATTTCGGGGGGGCCGATGCAGTTAAGGATAAGTAGTCATTTTCCAGGCTGCAAAGTCGAGAGTAAAAACACATTACCTCGCCGGTTGAGGAGGTTGCGAGCAACAAAACAGCGCAGGACTATAAAGGGACCCGAAATGGGTTCTAAGAAATGGGTCTCTTCAGGCCTCGAAATTCACTTTTCTTCCTACATGTATTTTGATTTAACAATAATAATGATTTAATGATTTAAATATGTATTCCAACTTTTAAATATGTATTGTCACCTGTTCGCAGCTTGTAAACTTTTAGAGCGATTGTTTATGTACATGAACTCGCAATTCAGCTAATAAGCTGCGATGAGTTTGTATTTGCACAATAAACAATAAACCATTCTAAATAATGCAAAACAAGGATAAAACAGGTGCAGGAGGAGGGGAGAAGCATGGAATGCTTATACAAGGCCCTCCTCCTCCTCTAAAGTATACAAAATTAAATCCATAAATCTATTATCCCAGCAATATCCCAGAAATAAATTTCGATTGTCCCGAAGTGAGGATGAACTGTCCCAACCTGTTTTTCGGGAAGTATTGTATGACTTCAACTTGAAGTCAACTTTATTTTGTTTATGTTCACTCCCAGGCGCACTATAATTATTGCAGTGTAGACAGGAAATTTTGGGGGGACTTTTCCAGATCCAAAAGCTGCACCCGGGGATGTGTGCCTGATAAACCAAGGAAGGGCTGACATTCTGATGTTGGTTATTCGTCTAATGTCCCAAAAATGTCCCAAAGTGTCTTAAGTTTTTAGTTGTCCCAGCCTAAATTTTAGTGGTCAGTGGAAATTAGTTAAAGTTAAAGAGACTTCCCGCGTCAAGTGACGCATAGGGCGGCGCCCATCTCCATTTTCAGTAGTCACTAGAGCAGGGGGCTAGTCCACTGGTAGTGGTGTGTGTTTAACTCCCATACTCTTTCCCAAATGCTGAGTGCTAAGCAAAGAAGGCAGTATGTACCAATTTTTAAGTCTTTGGTATGACTAGGCCGGGGATCGAACTCACGACCTACGGAATGCAGGGCGAGCACTCTACCCACTTGGCCATCGGACCACCTTTGGTTTCCAGCCCTACGGTCTGGGAACAGCCAACCAGCATAAATATTTCAAGAGTGAAGTATAGTGTCTATTTAATGGGGCAAATGACTTCAGTTTCCCAGGAGTGGGTCTCAATTATTCATGCAGGCGTCTCTCTTTTTTTCTGCATTATACATGCGCGCATTCCTTCTGTGGCTCTTAAAGCCAGAGTCGGTAATTGATGTGGGAATAGCAGTCGTATGGAATGTCTCCACATTCCAAAAGGCGCTTTGTAGTTTTCGCCTGGAAACAATTCCGTTTCACTTCATCGCATCATAAAGGAAAAATATGATGAATGGACAAGTTCTGACTGACATAACAGTGCATATTATTATATATAACTTGTAGTTTCTTTCAGTCTGTGGTTTTGCAATAATATTATTTTACTAGAATGGGAAGCAAGAATCTAAAATACAAATAATGCCGTAAAGGAAAAATATGATGAATAGGCAAAATAAGTTCTGACTGGCATAACAGACTAAATGTGCAAAGTATATATAAACTTGTAGTTTCTTTCAGCCTGTGGTGTTGCAATGATATTATTATTTTACTAGAATGGGAAGCAAGAATCTAAAATACAAACAATTCCGTTTCACTTAAGTACACCATAAAGAATAAATATGATGAATGGGCAAAATAAGTTCTGACTGGCATAACAGAGTAAATGTGCTTAATATTATAACTTGTAGTTTCTTAATTTTGCAAACTATCACTCTGTGGTTTTGCAATAATATTATTTTACTAGAATGGGAAGCAGGAATCTAAAATGCAAACAATTCCGTTTCACTTAAGTACGCCATAAAGTAAAAATATGATGAATAGGCAAAATAAGTTTTATCTGTATTGTTGAAGAACAGAGACAATGCGCATAATATAACTTGTAGTTTCTTTACAAACTATATCAGTCTCTGGTGTTGGAATCATATTATTTTATGAGAATAGTAAGAATCTAAAATGCATAGCCTGTATAAGTCTTCTACCATTCACGATTTGATGGGAAAATGACATTCAAAATTGAAAAAAAATCCTCAGAGTAATATTATGACCCAGTGCTAGCTTTCGAAGTTTTTGATTGAACAGAGATCTGGATATGTTGTAAATACTACTAGTAATATCTCTCAAACTATGTATAATCTTACATCAAATTGCACCAGGCAATAAATAATGTACATCATCGCCAAAAAGTAGTTACTCAAGCAACTGGATATGATTTTGAAAATGTCAGACGTTTCAGCTAGTATCCACTAGCTTTTGTCAGTGACTGAGAGACCAGAGGGGAAATGCAGGTTTATAAGCACAAACTATTGATTGATATGCAAATAAAGTGAAGACAAATTTTTGGAAGTCAAAAAAGGAACAAAAGTCAGACAAGTCAAGACAAGATAATGCAAATTAGTCAGAAAGCTCCTGTTGTCTGTCCTCGGGGCTGGGAGTGCCAAATCACAAGTGCCGGAGAGATCCACCCATAGCCCCCCTTCCCCGTTGAGGGTGGGGTTGTACATTCTTTCATATATTGCCTCTTTAACACCCCGTTCCCACCAGCGTGTTTCGCGGTCTAAGATATCCGTGGACTCAAGATGTACATCATCATACGCAGCAGTCAGACACAACATACATGTATGTCTGCACGGCTCAAAATTATTTTGTATGCTTACCTGCACTGGACCAGGTAACATTACCTGCACGGGCTGCACCATTCAGATTTTACCTGCACCACTATAAATTTGGAATGTATGGGTCATACTGATCAGAAGCCATCGCCATTGCGTTGTTTTATACCTCATGTGGTAACAGCCAATGCAGGTAGATATCAGAAATACCCGCACAGCTCTAAGTATCTGATACCAACCCAGAAAAGATCAAGAAACAGTCATGCCTTCAAATGTCAGAGTTATCAACCAAGAATTGAGGTGTTCACAAACTCGTATTTTCCAGGAACTATCGTAGAGTGGAACTCTGCAATTAAATGTGCAAAGATTGGGTGTGACAGGTTATTTGGTGTAATAATAATATAGCTACATTTGTAGCTGCCACCGCGCCGCGTGCCTGCGAAGCTGGTGTGTTACGCTGAAGGGCAGTTATACCGGCTATACAGATACAGAAGCTGGTGTGTTACGCCGAAGGGCGGTTATACCGGCTACACAGATACAGAAGCTGGTGTGTTACGCCGAAGGGCGGTTATACCGGCTGTACCGATACAGATACAGAATACACTAAGCTATATGCAGGTGGTATTTCCAGCCCAGGTCTGTGCTGCCTATAGCTATCTCACCACACCCACATCTTCTGTGTTTTTATACAACTCCTGCTATCCAAACGGTGCCAAGGTCTGAGGAACACTTTTTATAGACCACGTTATTCCAAATTGAGCAGGAATAACAACTTGTCTATCTGTCGCCCGGAGCGGCAGTTTTACGCGAGGACGTCCGACGTCTCGGAGGTGTAAACGCGCCAGTAAATGGTCTGCTGGAAGTGGAAGCCGGGGCGTAATTGGTTATTTTATGACGCCTGCAGAGTTAAGTATGAGTTCTGAGATCTATGCATACGTTATTTTCCGGACATAGCACTACACTACTGCTTTATCACCGGTCTGCAAAAATTCCCACCATGACTAAAAAAAAAGAAAGTAGAAGTGATTTCGAACCAGTTTAGCTCATTGAAGAGCTTATCTTCTTATGGTCCTGACAGAGAAGACAGACGCTATGTACAGTATTTACAGGTTCATTGTACCGGGGAAATTCCCCTAGCTCTTTTCGACAAGCACAATGAACAGTGGACCACGGTTAACGTCCCTTCCGAAGGACTGTGACCCTAAACAGTAGCATGCATGTCGGGTGAGTGACAACAGCCGGGATTCGAACTCCCAACCTCTTAGTCCAGAGGTAGAATGGCTAACCACTGGACTATGCACGCTACTTCTTGTTTGGAGTTTAAACTTAAGATCCAACTGTACACAAAACGTTCTCTCACCTAGAGCTTTCGACCAGTCACTCTGGTCTTCCTCAGTAGACTGACCCAGTGTTGACGTCACACTTCAAAGAAGCCACGTGACAAGCCTCACTGGGTCAGTCTCCTGAGGAAGACCAGAGTGGCTGGACGAAAGCTCTAGGTCG